ACAGAATTTTGCACAATTTCTGATTGCGAGAAACTAGATAAAAATATTTTTGGTAAACTGAATCACCGCATACAAAAAGCATTGCCGTCAAAATGTACGTCGCAAACGCGCGAGTATATATGTAGTGAAATATTTAAATTATATTGCATTTTATATTTCGACTCGCGTACACCACATTAAAGCATAATATAATTTGAAAGGTTTTGCATCCTACATTTATACATATTTTCAATTTTATACAACGTTGCGCGCGTGTCCTTCATTTTTTTTCAAACTGGAACGCGAATATCGATTACTTTCTAGCCGACATTTTGTTGAAACGGGAAACACGAATTTTTTTTCCCCAAGAATCCAACCGCTTTTCTATATTCATCAAAATGTTATAACGAATTTAACATTGAATTGAAGTATAAAACAAGTATAAGGATAATCAATCTTACGAGAGTAAAGATTACAATAGCACATTGTAAAATTAGATAAGAAAGCACTTAATATTATGGAGGAGCTAAAGAGAAATAATGGATTATTAAGCGCGTTATTCACCGCGAATTATTTATGTCGAAGAATATATATCTTATATATTAGAAGCGCACAGTTTCGGTTGTCGCTAATTGTGGTACGTATATCACTCGTGATCGGATTAATCGTTTATCGGAAAACTAATCAAGTAGTGCGCGGAAATGCAGGTTATGAATTAATCCGTTATACCCAAACATACGTATGTATATGTACGTATATAAATGCGGAAATTGTTATATATGTCGGGCCGAGATTGGCGACATGTTTTTCATACGTTCGAGTCCTTAATCCGACGTCAGCTGCAAAATTCGCGTCGAGATGGCCGAAGAGAGGTGGGATTTCGGGGAGGCGAACAAGAGACGAAATCTACGGCCACGTGATCAACGACGTCACGTATTTCGCATTACTATTCACGATGCCGTGGAACGGTTTACGGCTCCGGAATTAAGGCGCACAGAGTTAAACATCGGCCGATTATGTTAGGTCGCGTTTGTGCCGGTCTTAATTAATCCTGCCTGCTTATTCCGGACTTTCACGGCCGACTTGAGCTGATATGGTGCATTTAATCCGCGGTCTTTGGTGAAAGAGATAACGTTTCGTCGTTAGTTTCTCTCATCCGAGACCGACAAGAGACAGAGAGAGAGATAGAGTGAGGCAGTGTACCAATTTTCTTATAATTAATTATCAGAGATATTTATCATTAGTATGCATTGTCCGTCAAGTTAGAATTTCACTCTTAATTTAAACGGCATTTTATGATAAAAAGATTTATCTGCCAATCTATATAAAACAAACGTATATAATATATAAAGCTACGTACCAATAAACTGCGGTATATTTCCGAAAGAATATTACACTCTATCTCATCTCTCTTTCTTTCCCTCTATATACTATACATATATGTACATACATATCTCTTCCATCTCTGACAAATTTCTCGTAACACAGTTGCATCTCATGAAATTAAAAATAAGTCCGTGGCAAGAATCTTTGAAGAGAATTCACAGAGACCTATAAATGACGTTCGTACCCGTGAAAATTAACCTTCCAACTTTTCCTATCGAAACAAATCCAAACTCTCAAATATACGCGAGGCTATATACCGTAAATGATATATAGTAACGCGGTCGCGAAATGGTGCTCTTTGTACTATCTCGAATTTAATCGTCGAATTTAATGAAAGTGTCCGGCAAAAACTCAAACGTTTTCCGAGCTATTATTCGCGCGACGTGCAATGAAATACTCATTTAACGCTCGTTAAATGCACGTTGGGTTGCAGCAGCCTCCAGCTTGCGCTCGTGGTAGCTGCAAGAGGGTATAGGTTTCTCTCCCTTCGATTTGTTCCAAACGAAAGACGAAGGAAAAGTCGATCCTCCCGAAAGCTTCGAAAAGCAAGCGGCGAGAGAGAGACAAAAGTAATTAAAACTCGCGATCATAACCGAGCGCGCGTAGCTCCTCCGTGTCAGAGTAGGTTCGCTTGCGCGAAATTGAAATTCCATTTTGTAATACGTTTAACAAAACGCGCGCGGGAAGATTAAGCGGAAGAATCCCGGGAAAATTGATCGGCCGCCCGCGGGGAACGCGCGAAGATCGATAGTCCGTCCCGTCTAATAAACGCGGTCTCGCGGCATTTATTCCTAGCCACTTTTCTGATATTACGGAGATAAATGATCGGTGACGCGAGGACCCGTGGGAGTAGGTGGGAAAGAGGAGGCGAGAAAGAGTGCAACCCAGGTTTTTAGCCTCGGATGTATGTTGTTCGAGTACGACGTCGTCGTCGTCGTTTGCACGGAATGCACATCGCGCAACACCGGCAAATTGAAAACGTGTTTGGCCGTGTATAACATTTAGGCTTCGCAAATGTTTTTCGATTCGACCCGTACACACGCATATACAATACATATGTATATATGCGGCGAATGCAGGTTTTACCACAAATATCGAGAGAGAGAGATCGGGAAATAACGAAATGGATTTTCGCAAGGTCGTCCAGGTTTTTATACAAATAGTTGTCCGCAGAAATGAACGTAACGGACATTCGATATTCTATGTATTTCTACACATTGTTTAGCTTGCGCGTGTAAAAATAAATCACATATATATATATATTTCTCGATATGCGAGATTACGTTTCATTTGGAAAGATTCACGAGAGATAGCGACGTGATTATCGGAAGGCGTGGGCCACGTGTCGACGTCATTTCCAGCCGGAAGATCGGGCGAGATGCCATTGTAAGGAGCACCTCGTCAAAACGGCGGTTGATTTCCGGGAAGATTAATAATCTCCGAACGGAACAGCTCTCTCTCTCTCTTTCTATGCAACGCGTTCTCTCTTTCTTCGTCTCTCACCGTTCAACAAAGTTCTGACCGAACTTTATTATAAAACTAATATTTTCCAAGTTCTATGAGGTATTACGATAGTTTTCTGAAAGGGCCTGCCAAGACGAAATGGTCCGCGGGGCGAAACTTCAATATTCGGCGACCATAACGACACCGACTGATATATTATTTCCTACAACTTCTACTCTCAGGTTTTGTCTGCTCCGCGGCCAGAAGAAAGGGAAGAAAACGCGCGGGAGGGAAAGCGGCGTAAAAGAGGAGAGAGAGAAAAAAAAAAGACTAGAGATGAAAACTTGATTAAGAATTCCATCCGCTCGTACTCTTGCGTTTCCTCCTTCCCAGGAAACGAGAGAACCGCGATGCTCCGCGTAGCGTTGCGTAGCGAATTAAACGACGGTGAGATATGAAGATTTAATAATAAAATTGCATTGACCCCAAGAAGCATTTTTGTTCTCTTTCGAAAATGTTACATATAGATAAAGGGAGGAAGATTTGCACGGTCTATCGCTTAAATTGATCCTCCGCTACGACGAAATCGAAACACGACGAGCCCGATCACAGTGCATCGCGCGCAAATTAACCCTTTCGACCGGATGAAAATGTTCGCAGTTGCAGGCTCAGATTCGGCTCCACGAATGTGTCGGTAATCGATCGATATTTTCGAATTGAACGGAAGCTTTATATGCGCGCGCTCTTTTGGATTTCGGTGCGTTCGCAATTCGATATTCGTAATTGATTTTCGGATTCGAAGACTTTGGCATTTGCGGAGGGAATATCAATATCGATATTAAAATCGATTAAACCCGTTATAAAAGAATGAATAAAGAAAAAGTTCGGGTTTTTTTAACAAAGAGTTATATGTGTAACTTTTATAAAGGCGAGAAATATTCGGACAAAAAATCCTACGGTCCTAAAAAGCGATTGTAATCCTCTTATTGTTAAATTAAATAAAAAAGAGAATATAAAAAATAATATTATTTTTTTCTTCTATCTTAATTTTTTATACATATTATTTCTCTTTTCCGTACTCGCAATTTCCATATTCGCGAAATGCAACTTCCGCGAGCATATGTACCTACGTGTGTGTGTGTGTGTGTGTGTGTGTGTGCATGAAAAAAAATTTCACTTCATATTACATTGTTTATATTCTGCACAATAGCGCAAACATACATTCTACTATTTTATATTCATTATATCATATTTGTTTTCATTCCTCGTTTTTATTACGACGAATGTGCCGCCACTGATAAATCTGGTTTCATCGGCGGTATCGAATCGTCGTCGGGGAAAATTCGTGGGAAAAGCGGATAGGAGATGTCGGAGCAGCGGGAAAAGTTGGAGTCGGTCGTGGGGTCAAGGGACAGATCGGGCGACCTAGAGAAAAAGGCGAAAGGGGGAAGAGATAAGAGTGGGACCGAGAGACGCGACAGAGAACAAAGGGTGCTTATCGACGTCGCGGTTCTTATCCTCCTAGGTAATTCCTTTTATTTTATCCGTTTCTTCTCCTTTCGCTCCTTCGCCCTACGCGAGAGGATCTCGAGAACCGGTATACTACCACGACGTACAAATCCGTGAGATAATCGGAGATCTAACTACTCGAATGTAGACCAAGCTATTTCCGTATCTCTCATATATAGGCGTGCGCGCGGCGATCTCTCAGATTTTTTTCCTATTAAAAATGTTTTTCCCCCCCGAGAAAAAGCGACATTAATTCACTTCGACGTAGCAATTTGCTCAACTTCCGCGAAAAAGCGACAGTAGCGGAAATCAACAGTAAAGTTTAGTGACTGACGTTACGGCGTAACTTCTTAAATGACGTTAGATGAAAAGAGGGAGGGAGATTAGTTGTTGAATCGATTGAGTTAATTTTTCACTTTAATTTTTGCGTGTGTAAAGTAAATTCGCGACGATGACAACGAGGCTTAAACGGAGACTAAACTTTGATACTGTCAATTTCTACATGTCTACATTACTCTGCTCTTCTATTTCGTTTGAAAGAAACTGCGCGCGCCTTCGGTGTGGAATATTTGTGTTATCGGAGTTATCTGAGTAAATTCCAAGCGCGCGAGAACGGAATTAGCTTGAGTAAGGGTTTGTTTTTTTTTTTTTTTTTTTTGCGAGTCAATATTTAACGGACTTACCGGGTGTAGATGACGTACTGCGAAATTGGAGTGTTGTGGGAATTAACACCAGGTGCCCACGATATATTCACAGCTTTGGACGTGTAACTTATGACAAGTGGTCGTTCCGGCGGATCAGGCACATCTGAAAACAAATTATATCACTTGTAATAAAAACTCGCTTGCAATTTGTAATCGTATAGAAATTAATTTTACGATTTATATATGATTTCGTCGCGCAAACTATGCGAATCTTGGCGCGAATATTGACTAAACGAGTATACTTCGTGCACTATGCCTCGGCTACTTAAGGAAGACATGATTTTGAAGTAGTTATAGCAGCTGTATATATACCGTCTAAGGTACAACGCTAACTCGCTTTAGCTCCTTACGCTAAAATTTATTTTGTCGAAAGTTAGAGTCACATAACTGATATTTCTTACAGGCATCGATATCGACATGAAACGCAAACACGTAACAACTTTACGGATTCTTATGATATCCGTATATGTATATATATATATACCATATCTGAAGCAATTTTCTTGTCATAAAATTGAAATGTTTCATTGATTGCGTTGACACTTGTAAACGCGTTATATATTATAATTAGATAAGATAAAATTAAATAAATATTAAAAATTATTGACTATTATGTCATCGAGATTATAATTATTAAGTAATACTTATATACTAAATAATACTTGATTAATTAAGTCTATTCAATATAGAGCAAAAATAAATTGCGATTGACTTGTATGAATGTGATTATTTACGCTCAAGCTCGCATTCGAACCAACATGAGACCAAGATTTAAGCGAAACTAAATTATTGAGATATTTAACGTAAACTGTTGAAGCGCCTCAATCCGGATATAAACGTAAGCCAACCGTAAGTGAGTCTAACATAGTAATTTCACATGGTTGCATAAACCAACTCGGTGTATAACAAACACGCCTCTTTCGTATGATGCATGAGATACTACGTAATCACGAAGGTGCCTCACTTGATCGGCTTTTCGTCTGCTTTGACGGTTCGATAATTAAACCTCCGATCAAACTTTCATTAGGAAAAAATACATCGCACAAAATTTTCTATCTAAAAAAAAACAAGCTGTATTTTCATTGTCAGAAAGAACCGCAGAATTATCGATATTAAAAACAATATTTAAAAAAAACACAAAAACTAAATTAATATACCCAGCTTGTTATTATTTTACAAAAACAATTCCAGTGAAAAGCTAATTAAATATTGTTAAAAAATCAACTCATTCAAATCGATTAAAGTTAGAAAAAAGACTAAAATTGACCAAACAGTAAAAATTACGTTCAGAATAATTGATTTTGTAAATTTACGTGAATTTAACCTACACAATTTTATTTTATTTTATTTTATAATTTGTTTTATATATATATAAAAATATTAGCATATATTTCATATATTTATATTCCCGTCTCGCGAACGTGACGTACTCGGAGTAAATACAATTGGGATACGTAATATTTTCATGAAGCTCTTGAAGTCGAAGTCACTCATGCGGGAGAGACACCGATCACGCTCTCTGCGGCGGCCGCATCGGATAAGGCTCCGGCGTTTAATATGCACCGGCGTGCAGCGCGGCACGACGCGACGCGACGAAATATAACATTGCGCGCACGTTGCATAAGATCATAAATGAGAGCGGGGACCTGTAACCTCTCAGGATGGAGTCGTCATCCTTTTCCGACCTAGCTCGCGCGTGCGCGACTCTTTATGTCGACTGTTACCACGCGCCGTGACACACCCGCGCGAGAAAAATTTCAAATATGAAAATTCTTCTCTCGCGAGAGAAAACGAGAGATAGAGTGAGTGAGAGAGAGATGGGGAATTTTCGATTGACTCGAATACCGCAATATCATTTCATACGATGTCAAGTAGGTATATTGGATTTATAGCGTCAAGTTATGAAACGGATGTATATTTAATGTCTATATCAGCTGATTAATTTACGTGATTTTTGCGTAATTAAATGCGCACTTGTCGGCGCAATATTTGTATCTGCTCAATATGACGCTCGATTTGACAGAAAACTTGTAACGAGACATTTTAATTCACCGTTTATTTCATTGCATTAGCTCGTATGATTTTTACGTGATTAAATGTGCACTTGTCTGTGCAATTAATACTTGCCCAATTTATTATCGGTGCATTAGCTGATACAATTTTTACGTGATTAAACGCGCACTTATCCATACAAATTTATAGCGGTTCAATGTTCAGTGATAATTTTGATAATATTAAATTAATTCTGGTTATATCACGCACGTACACACACATACCTACACGCACGTCCTCGAAAAATCTGTCATATAGTATTTATTTAACCGTAATAAAATATTAGCGACATATCTCTTTAAGTCGTGTAAATCTATTATACAACAAAGTACAGTAAACATCAACAAGAACTGTAAGAGCTATTCGCGACGAAAGCATTATTTACGCTCATTGTTTTTCTTTATGAAATTCAAGTCGTCTTATAATTAATAAAACCTGATCGTATTAAACTCTTGAATAAATTGTACTTTTTATAATATTAACCTTTGAAATTAGCATTCTTCTCGCATATTTGTTTGTAATTCCACGCGAAGATATACCAGGAAAAAATGCAAAAGTGCAGGAACGGATTAAATGAAATTTGCTATGTGAATGCACTACCGTCGTTCATGGATCTTTATTAATTTCACATTTCAGCGTTTCCGGTCGGAAACGGAAAAAGAGAACGCGGAAGCATTGCGCGTGTCTTGAACGGCTCGCTTTTTCTTTGCTCGAGCGAAACAGTAACAATGAAACAAACACAGCGAGTCAACTTTTACCATAAGCAAATATATTCCTCTTTGTAATTTTTTTTGTCTTTCTTCTTCGTACAATCGACCGAGATATATTCTCGTTGCTCGCGAACATCTCTCTTAATACATTACAGCCTCTATTAATCTATTCATGCAAAATTATCGCGTCTTATCCAAACTTTGCGTTGCATAAACACAAAGATGGATATAAATCGCCTAGTCTGCTCTTCGTGATAATTTAGTAGTTTATAAGCCCTGTATAAGTTTAAATGGAAAATTAATTATATTGTAATATGAAAATTATATTCCTGTTTTTTGTTCTGTTAAGCACTAGTTACATGACGATTGTTTCATTGATTACTAACGTTCTTTCACAAAAAAGAATTATAAGAGATAGAAAAGAAGCGACCTAGTATTAGTTAGCAAGTATTTGAACGACGGTCGCAAAAAAAAAAAAAAAAAAAAAAAAAAAAAAAAAAGACTACAAGAGAAACATCCTTTATATTCTTTATTTAAGAAGTAATTTCCATTATTATGTAAAAATGTATTATCTGTAAAGGAATTCTTCTGCCAAGAAGAAACACAGACTTATAATTGGTACTGAAAGGAATAAATCATACGCGATAGAATACCAGTGAGAGAAATATCTAACACTAAAGTCTTGATTAGAATATTTCAATATTTTTCGATTTAGAATTCTAATTTCTCTCCCGTCTATCCATTAAAGAACTTAGAAATTTGCAATCTTATTTCTGCGCTAATTCTCATATATAGTATTCTTACAATTACAGTTTAAACGACAAACAGTTTATTAATATCTGAGAATTTTCTTTTAGTCATGTCTTACACTCTATTGTAATATGCAGACATAGAATAAACAAACGAAACGCTGTGTACGGATTTTTGCTTTCTTTTAAACTGAGCTTTGAACTTTCAAACTAAAAGAAAAAAAATATATAAGCGAAACCGTTTCATACAGAAACAAGGAAAAACATTGCATTTTACATGCGATATTTAATAAAAAAAAATTAAAACCAATTACGAATCTCTTCTCGTTAATTTTAAGTATCAAACAAAATTTCTTTCTCTCGCTCCTTCTCTTTCTTTCTTCTTCTTTTCCTCGATCGCCCATTAATTCTATACCATTTAAACAAGGTACGCCGTTCCGCCACCCATCGCGCGTTGCAGCCTTTCATTAATAATTCATGCTTTCCGCTTTACGGGGTCAACAGTGGACGTTTCTTTATCCGAGCCGCAAGTCGAGCGCGTTGCGTCGTACAAAGTCACCGACAGACGTGAGGCAAAGTAAAATCGAGCGAGTCGTGCGAGTCTCGTTATATAGATTTCTACAGGTAACATTTTGTAAATATTCAAATGAATGTAGAGGGTGAATAGAAAATGTTTATTAATGTTCGGGCCTTTATGCGATCAGACTTTCCGCAAAGAAAATGAAAAATCGATCGTCCAGCCGCAATTGCGTTGCATAAAATAATTACGTGAAAAGATAATAACGCGGACCATTATAACATCGATGTTAAAATACTTGGCGATCAATTGACGACGAAGCATTATTACGAATTATGCTTTCAACGAACGCGAGAGTTAAATGGGCGCGCGATACTCTCTAAAATTTTCACTTAAATATGTAAACTAAAATATGCAAAATAGGATACGTGAGGTGACTAATTAAGTCTCAACGTAACGAATTAAAAACTCCGGTGAATTTACGCGGCAGTTTTTCTAAGCTAAAAACTAGACGAGGGTCTCTCCCCTCTCTTTCTATGAAATTAATTGTTAAAAGTATTTCTCGTTACGGAGAGTGACCGGCACGGAGGGTTTCCTTACGGAGGGTGCGCGCGTGTTAGTGGCGCATACCAGGATAACCGCGCGTATGCACCGAAGGATGCCAACGTCGTCCTTTACGGTAGGTAGAATATAAATTCCTACGAGCGCGTTTAGCGGAATTTACGAGCGTCATTTTAAGAACTGTTTTGCCTTGCTCTACCATATGGTTCCCACGTAAATATCTCTCTCGCTCCGCGTCTCGCCGTTAAAACTCAGTACGCAACCATTAACCAACGTATTCTGCTTACTCGTGACGCGTGGACTTTCCTACTCTTTTTTGCCGACGTCATCAGTATAATTAGCACTTTAGTTAATCGCGACGAGATTGATGCGACTCGCGACCACTAATTAGATTCGCCTTTCTCTCTTTCTCCCTTCGCGAGAAATCCGCGTCACGGTTTCAGCGCGCAAGAGTTCGCGTGTACAATTGATAATATTAATGGTAACTTCATTGGCGACTCTAATGCAGGCATTA